AGAAATATTTGTTCATCCCTTTTCGTTTCAATAAATTGACGACATGCTTCCAAATCAATAAATAATGTAATTGAATTAAAGATCTTATTTAGTTCAGAACAAGTATACTGGAAATCTTTTCCTGATTTGCCAATGTTTGCATCTAACCAAATGAGAATAATATTCTGGACAATCTTGTTTTTGCAATATTGAATATTATTGTTCTCGTTTGAATAGTTTCTTTTTATAGTTGATGTCCTATGTAAATTTCCCATTTCATCAAACTTAATCTATAAATATTTCTAAATGAAATTAAACATAATACTCGAATTTGTGAATGATGAAATCTTCTTTTTGATTCTGATGAAAGATAATTCCATTCTTTTTTTACCTTGATCGATTCGATGAGATCCTTTTCTCTTTGAGAACTTTAATGGTACACTTTAAACGTGGATTTAGATAAATGATGATGGAGTTTTACATAGAAGAAAGGTGAGGGACAATTTGGAAGCAGGTTTTCTGACGTTGTGGCATGTTTATGATAGTCTCTCTCAACAGAAATATAATCGATGTTTTGTTTTAATCTTAATGCGATCAGAGGAATGATGAATAAAGATAAAATTTTAGATCATAAAATGTTAAACCATGTGACAGTAATTTATGCATTTCTTTGTATCTTATCGTGAAGATGAATGCAAATAAACTTCACATGTATTCATTGTCAAGTGTTAGGTGTTGTTATAGCCTTAACGTTATTGCATGCATTTCATATAATGCAAATAGATTATTTAAAAACATTGAACTTAAAAAAAGAGAAAGAAATGTGTTGCTTTTGTAAAATGGAAGAACTTTTGCAAAGAAAAACGAAACATTTATTCGTGTGCATGTGAATAGGTGAATGTAAAATGTGTGTAGATGAAAATGAGGACTTTCGTTTCAGCTGTACATCCAAACTCATTCTATTTCTATGCCATATACAATGTTAAACTCGTTTCATCTATCCATTAAATGATCCTTTCTTATTCTGCACTTAGGTTTTGAGAAAAAAATAATAAAACAAAAAAACACTTCAAGATGTCATATATTTTATACTAAATTCAACTACAAGTTCTGCATGTCTTTTTCTTCACCGACAAACCTAATTTCACGAGAAAGATATATAGCATCAATCAACAATATAATCGTCTATATTTTCGATAATCTTCACTCATCTTGCTAGCAATTTTTTAATGCCACATTTGTAGGCACCAGCAGATTAAGATTCGAAGAATGTCGGTATCAGATGACTAGTGCATAAAGGATCCTGATCATAACATCCACACTTACACTCATCCTATACCTTCTAATAGTTCGACGATCTGATTACTTTGATTCAAAAATAGAGGTCTATCAAAAGTTATAATTTTTAGATTGTTTTTATTTATGAAATTATATCAATTTTTAAAGGAAAGGCCATTTTCTAGTCTATTCTATGTGTATGCTCCCTTCTATCCTTCTTGCTTCTGTGATATAGTTATTTTTCAAGAACCTAACATGAGTTTTATATAGTTTGTTTTAGAGCGCCAAAAAGTGCATCTTTTCATAAAAAACATTGGATAAAAAGTACTATCAAGGTTCCAAAAAGTCCATGATAATGTTGTTTACTCTAAATCATTGTTTGACATTTTCATGAGAATGAACATATCGATTTTTTTTTGAGAACATTTAAATTATTTGATTTTAAATCATAAGAATCAGCAAAAAACAAGGAGATGTTTCGAGTGCTGATCCGCAATCAATATCTCCGATGGAAATACTCACCCAGCGAGTACTCAATGTACTACTCATTTTCGTTTTCTCACCGAACATTTTCACATTAGCAAGTATAAAATTTAAATTAAAATTAGAAATCGGTTTTGATTTTATTGCAATTCAATCAAATTTTGTTTGTTGTATGATGGATATCTAATACAAATGAATTACGGTGAAATAGATTTCCATCTTAGACTTTTAAGTTCTTTTTTTTTGTTTTTGAGTGAACGTTTTGAAATGGTTGACTCTCTTGTTGTTTGGCAGTAATGATACTTTTGTCAATGTTTTTAAAGACAAGTAATCATCTCTCATAAGTAAAATTTGACTAAGAAATACAATAAAAACATCTTTTAAAAAATCTATAAATTTATATTTTTAAAATTAGATCTGTTTTTAAACTCTTGAAGTGTTTCTAATGAATATTGCATTTTCATTATCATCAAATGATGATTAACAATGAAATTATAGTTTTTAATGTGAGATGAATTGTTTATTTCGAATGCATTTTATTATTAATTAATCAAAGTCATTATTAAACAATGTATTTAAGGTATAGCTCATAGTTTTTGAATTGCTACTAATCGTCCAATAAATGTTTCAAATGTTTTTTTTTCGATTTTATCTTTTGCTCACAACTAGGACTCATAATGTAGATATAAGTCCTAAAAGAATTCTTGTCATTATGACGTTGTTCTCGAATTATAATGATTTTATTGAAATTTTTAGTTTATTGCAAAGTATTACGAGTAGAACGAAATTGAGCAATTTCAGCTAACAATAGATCTCATGATCCTTATAATATTTTGAAAGTTTTATTCAAAATAGATGCTATATCACCGAGCTAAGAAGTATGCAAAAGAAAAAGGTTTTTCTCACAAAAGATTTGAAAAAATTTGATTTGTTTATCACTCAACATCTGCAGAAAAAAATGATTTATTTTGGATGAAACTTTCAAGATATTATAAAAAAAACATAATACGTATTCGTGACTGCAGTTTCAGACTGAAATTTTTCGATTAACTTAATACCCGTCTCGAGCACAATGTCATTATTGTCAGAATTCTTTTAGAATTTTTCATTTATATTATGAGTCCTAGCTGTGAGTTCAAACGGAATGTATCAGTTGCTATAATTCTCTTGTAAGTTAATAAACAACTTTTGACTTTGTGTCTCTACTCTACTGACTTTACTTTTTCAAACTTATTATTATTTTTTGATTTCGTTTCTTGTTATATGTCTTTCTAGATTTGTTAATTTTATATTATACGAAATAAAGTTCTATACAATGGAATTTTTGCAATATATGATGGTAATAAATATACATTATAAATGTGGAAAATTTCTTTTTTCTTTTTATTGATGTATAATTGCAATTTTGACTCGGTTATAAAGAAGTGTAGTTATCAAATAAATCAAAATAGTAGTTAAAAGAACAGTTATGAGATTTAATGATCTTAAGTCATTCATGTAAACAAAAACGACTATATAAGATCGAATTATATTGTTCGACTATTCTCTTCTTGCTTTTCTATACTTAGCGAATTCTACTCCGATTCTATGTAATAATAAAATTTTTTATTTTTTCATCGAAAATTTTACTTAATGAATCAATTTCATTTTACAAATTCTTGCGATAAAAATGCAACAAATGTTCTATCATCTGGACACAGAATGAAAAACGAAGGAACAGTTTATACATCAATATATAGTCCATATGAAAAGTAAATCTCAGATGTTTTTTTTATAAATGTTAATTATGAAAGTAAAAACGACGTACTTTCATAATTCATCAAGTTTTGCTCTTGTACAAAAAGCTCTGCAATATTTACGTATACACTTTTTTAAATAAAACTGAAAATATAAAATAAAAAAATAACAAAAAAAATTAGTTTTGTAATTAGAGAGATAGGAGAGAACTCCTATAGACTTTCAATATCTGACTATGTGTTCATAAATTCTTTTCTAGTATTTTGTATTTGCTGCTATTGTCTTAGCACCTTTTTTTACGTCTAATTTTGAAGTTCATTGAGTTTTCTATGACTAATTCAATCTTACGAAACTACTAGCCTTCAATATTCGTTATGTTATATGTGTGGGAGCCAAAACCAAATAGTTACTATCGATTTATGATCTCCTGTATAAGTTCTTTAGAAAATTATTTGTTAAGCAAATGATCACTGTCAAATCCGTGGTTGAACAAGAAAACGAACAAATGTCACTGTTGTTGCTTCCTTTAATAGAATAGCATCGTATTCACAATCAATACGAGACGATCTAGACTTTTACAGGCAGCACCTTCACGATGATGCTGATAATATAATCAAGTTCAAAATGCTATTAAAAGAACCTAGATTAATTCTAACTGATCTATTTGATGAAGTACTCAATGTGATTCTCTTTTCTCTACAGAAAAAGCATACAATTGCAAATGGTACACTTTATTTTGTAGCTGAAGTCGATAATTTTGATCATAGTACGCCACAGCATCATTATAACGAAGATTAATCTTCGTAAATCTTAGAAGATATTAGCCGAAAAGTTGACCACGCCTTTCTTGTTAGTTTCTTCATATCGATCAAACACATTAAGTGACCATATTTTTTGTCCTCAATTTAATTCGATTATGAATGTAACTGAAATCTATTTTTTCAAATGTTGAATATTACTCTAAACTTACTTATTTGAACACAAAATGAACACATTCGACGCTATACATTCGATAAATAAAAATGCTAAGAGTTAAGATGAACTTGCCAAATATTAAAAGTAAAAATACTAAAGAAAAAAAAAATGTAAGCTTTCTCTTTATAATTATTTCTTCTTTTTCATCACAATTTACTCCTTTTTTTCTAAAAAAAAAACATGTTAATATTAATTCATTCCTTTATGATGTATATTCTATTGTAAATGCTCTTCATTGCTTCTTTCTATATGCTATGTAAAAAGACGTGTATTTTTTTAATGCATTTATCTTTTGATTTTTCGTGTATTTTATAGAAATCTTGTAAGAAACATAACGTAATAAACAAAAGGGAGATAATCCTGTTTGTGTATAAAGAGGCTACGTTTGAATCACAATGACCAGATAGAAGTTTCAAGAATAAAAAGATTTAGACAAGAATTCAACAATAGAAGAATCTTCCCTGGAGAGAGTGTTAGTACCTAGATGAAAAGATGATCGACATTCATACCGACATATGTTTTTTAAAGATAGTGTAGATAGAATGGAGTCATGATTTTTTTGCTTGAAGTTGTTCCAAGTTTTCCTTAAACTTTATTGCATCGGAACTATTCGGCATTGACACCTCGTCAACCGATTGAACAGCAAGTTCAGCATACTTCAAAGCTTTTTCATCTTCTTTGAGCTCATTCAATATTTTCGATATATTGTAATAAGTTTTAGCCAAACGTGTATAATCAATATGTGAACTTCTTTTTCCGATATCTAATGCTTCTTCATAGAACTTGAGCGCAGTAGTGTAGTCTCCTACTTCTCGATATACTCTACCAATGATACCACATATAGAAGCTATTGATGGATGATTAGAAGGAAATGCTGTTTTTCGTATTTCCATTGCTTTGCAAAGATTATTGAGTCCAGTCATACGTTCTTTCATCGATATTTGAGCAAGACCAATATTTTTGTAAGTTTTAGCTAACCAACGATGGTTTACAGGAAGAATTTGTGTATAGATTTTTAGTGTCTTTTCATAATATGATAAAGCAGTTGAAAATTCTTTTCTTCGATCATATACAAGTCCAATATTGTTATAAGTAGTAGCTAGATCCTGATGGTTAACTTCGAGATTTTTTTCTCGTATTTCAAGAGCTTTTTGATGATACAATAATGCTTTAGAAGTGTCATTTAAACTTGTATACAACAAACCCATATTACTATAAGTAACCGCTAGATCAAGATCAGTAGAAGGACGCATTTTTTCTTGAATTTCACATGCCTTTGTATAAAATGGTTCAGCATCTGAATAATTTCCTTGTTTATATTTAATATATCCTAATTGATTATGAATCCAAGCAAATTCTTTTTTATCATTTTCAGAAGTTGATTCACGTAATAGTTCATAGAATGCTTCAGCTTTTTCAAGTTCGCCTAATGTAATCATTAATCGACCTAATCGTTCTATAGCATTTCCTTCACCAATTTGTCGTTTGATATGTTTTATTAATCGTGTAATTTGTAAGTCATTATCACCAACCGATGTCAAGTTGACTTTCCATATATTATCCTTGTACTCTCCGACTTGAACTATTCGAAAAACGGTGGGTAACGAGAAAAGAGTCTCTTTTTCTCCGTCATCATAACAATCAGCATTATGTAACGAAGCAAATGGAGTTGATATTACAGTTGGATCAACTTCTATTTCAAAGAGAATAGCAGTTTTACCAGCTCGATCTGTAGATTTTTTTGCAAACCTCGTCGCGACACTTACGTCGTCACTAGTAGAAAGAAAACTATTGAATGCAAATAGACCACCAATATTATTACGTATTTTAATAAATTCGTCATTAAACATGCCTTGACCTCGATAAACGATAAATGGTCCCATTTTCTTATGTTTTTTCGAATGTATTTCTTTGATTTGTTGATGAATATCTTTTATAAAGAAACTCATCAGAGCAATAAGATTAATATTGAAAGTTCTCAAACTACAATTGAGCATTCGATAAGTAAAACATTCACGAGTATACCACCAGGTAGGTGAATGTTTATGATAATCTTTTTGGAATTCATCAATAATTTTTAATTCAGATAAATTCTCATGAAAATTATTTCGACAAAACTCAGCAAGTTCACCTATTGCTCGTTCATCATAGGTCACTTCTAGTAGAATGTCTTTTATCAGTAGTGAATATATGAATGATGAATCAACTTGTTGTAAATCTTGATTCGAAGAATCGTTCGCCGACAGAATACTAGTTGGAGTTAAATCTTCTTCACATTGCGCAGCATCACTTACAATTGCTTGACAAATAGGTTCAATATTCTTATCAACAAGCTTTATCTTTCCAAATTGTTTTGTCCATGTATGCTTTTCTGGTTGGCCACAAAATACATAGATGGAATCGAGTCGAACATATTTATGAACAAGTGGTACTAATGTTTCTCCAAATGTTCCAGATACAATAAGAAATATATATTGATCCCTTTTCGTTGCAATAAATTGACGACATGCTTCCAAATCAGTAAATAATGTAATTGAATTGAAGATCTTATTTAGTTGAGAAAAAGTATACTGGAAATCTTTTCTTGATTTGCTAATGTTTGCATCTAACCAAATGAGAATAATATTCTGAACAATCTTGTTTTCACAATATTGAATATTATTTTTCTTGTTCGAATAGTTTCTTTTTATACCAGTTGATGTCCCATGTAAATTTCCCATTTCATCAAGCTTAATCTATAAATATTTCTAAATGAAATTAAACATAATACTCGAATTTGTGAGTTATGAAATTTAGATAAATAAAGGTAGGGTTACACTTCGAAGTAGGATGATGAATGAATTTAACGCAGTTTATCTTACCTTGTGTTATTTTTCTAGAAGCTTATCTCAACAAAAATATTCGATACCTCTTTATCAGCCTGATTTTATCGAAGCAATCATAAATAAATACAAGACTAGATTGCAAAATGTTAAACCATGTTCCTTTTGATCTTATTGCGGAGATGTATGCGAACAAACTTCATATATATCCATCTTCAAGTGGTAAATGTTAATCTAGTCTTAGCATCGGCGTACACATTTCGTGCAACGCATATGGAATATTGTTAAAAAATTTATTCGAAGAAGAAGAAAGAAATGTGTTGCTTTCGTAAGATGAAAAAGTTTTTTCGAAAAAAGAAAAAAAAAAAAGAAAATTTTCGTTTCTTTGTGAATCATTGAATGTGAAAGTACGTGTGTGTCGATGAAAGTGAGAACCTCCCTTTTACTCATACATCCACACTTACACTCACCCTCAAATTCCCACATGAGTTAACTTCTGCTGATTGGTTGATTATAACGGCCAACTGAGCTACATATATTCAATATTTAAACTATTTCATCTATCAATAGAGTGTTCAGTTTTAGTTCTACTTTTAAATTTTGAAAACAATAATAAAGAAAAAACAAACATTTCAAGATGCCATAGATTGTATATCTGTACTTTATTCGGCAGTATTTGTATATGATATTTGATTAGCATCCGAGAACAAGTAATCAACAAACTATGTGCACGAACAGGCAAGACAGTAATCAATAAGATCGAAAATTTAAATGATTTTTCAAATCTATTTTCTATGGAAAGTCAATACAACAAACATAGACTGCTGTCCATCTTGGCGGCAATGAAGAATCTTTCCGTCTATTTTCTATTGTATAGTCATTTTGAATTTGATTGGAATGGTTTTTCCGACTTAATGTAATATTCTAAACAGTCCTATCGATCCGCACAAGAATAAAGTCTTTCCAACAGAAAATAGTGCAGATTCCAATAATCTACGATGAACGATTGTCATCATCGTGATGAAAGAGGTATTCCATTAAAATACCAACAAGGTGTTCTATTCTCCTTAATGATGGTGGACAGAAGAGACATCACTATTATCATGTTGGACTTGCGTTCGCAAAGGTCTAAGAATAGAACTCAAAGCAGCAAATTAGGTATTCATTTTGTTATTGTATTGAATTAGCTAGTGCAACACAACATGGTGAGCAGGTTCGTCTGATTCGTTTTCAACTCTATTCAATGTTCCACGTGTTTAAATAATCGAAAAACTAAGTCTCATTCGATAGTAGATTTAAATTCTTTTACTACATCTATGAGATTTTTCACAAATTAGATAGATGTAAATCTGTTTTTTCATTGATATTTTTTCTGGTAGAAATTGAACATGATGATACTTTTCATGGCGCATCTTCCATTATTGCTGAAAGCTTTTTCATTTAAATTGTGTCTGTTTTGTTGACTTGGATCATTTTATTCTACCTTTCAGAGGTGGGATCGGTTGGCATTTTTGCCAAACCGAACCGACCGTAACCGAAAAAATCTCTAACCGAACCGAACGTAACCGACCGAATTTTTTAAAATTTCTAACCGAACCGACCGTAACCGAAAAAATCTCTAACCGAACCGAATGTAACCGACCGAATATTTAAAAATTTCTAACCGAACCGACCGTAACCGACCGAATTTCAAAAATTTCGTAATCGAACTGAGTTTAGAGAAAGCAAAGTTTAGTTTATTTTAGTTAGGGTATTAGTGCTTTATAAATTAACAACAACAAATCAAATAATAGCAACTAAAAATAATGAACACTTAGAGAAAGCAAAGAATAAAGATTATTTATTGGATCTTCTTACTGTATTATAACTTCCTTACCTCTCAGGGCAAATTTTAAAAATATGTGAGATAATCCGCGTTGCGAGCAACAGCTAGTTGTTGTACGATTATATTGTTTTTTCTTCTTATGTTTCACTGAAAAAGTCCATTGAACTCAAATGAAACGATTATGTTGATTCTTTCTAACCGAACCGAACATAACCGACCGAATTTTTTAAAATTTCTAACCGAACCGACCGTAACCGAAAAAGTCTCTAACCGAACCGAACGTAACCGACCGAATTCTCTAAAAATCTCCAACCGAACCGATTTCGGTTACGGTCGGTCGGTTCGGTTCGGTTAAAAACCGAACCGGTCCAATCTCTGCTACCTTTGTGCAAAATTTAGAATTGATCAAATTTCTAGAGACTTCATGAGAGTATGATTATTCAATACTAAGACAAATGTGAATAATAGTCTCTTCGTTTTTACAGTGCGTATCTATCCGCAGGTTTCTGAAGAATGGTGAGTAAACTTTATTTTTCGTGAATACATAACATTGAAAATCCTATAATACTTGATTGAAAACTACATTGCTTTATCTGTCGACAAAAATGAGAGTTAAGAATTCATTTTTGACCATTGTCTAAAGTACTTTTCTTTCTGCAAAAAAAAAGTCACTCGACCAGTTGTAAAAATCGATCAATAAACTAAATGTATACGCATATCTAGATTTGATTGCTTTAGATAAGATCTACTCATGTGCTTACAAATAATGAATTTGAATACATAACATTAGTCGGAAAATTTTTCTCGCTATTTTCATAAAACAAAATCGAAATCAAGTAAATTCTTCTGCAGTAGAACAATAGATATAATAATATTAATTAGATGAAAAAAGAATGATTCAATGCTTGAAAATTGTACATAGATCTGTACTTAATTCAATGCAAGTATCTATATGTATCGAAAGTGAAAGACCTTTCTCAACTTCTACTGATATTATCTCGCCATCAAGCTCTTGATTCTTTTTTTCCATCTTAGTAATTCAATATGTTGTTTCTTACAAGGATTTCATTCAAGGATGCATCAAAATTTGACTAAAGAGAGATGAATGAATAAATTTATGGAACAAGTCGAAATAGCTCTTATATCAAAGATTCGGAAAATTTCTATGTAGCATTCAACATAGATCACTTTTTGACTGCAAATTACTGCCTTAAACATTGTCGATTAATATTATCTTTTTTTTCGGATGGAAAATGTGATCATACAAAACATTTCTACTTTGATGGCATATTCTTCATGATCAACAATTGTATTTGATTGATGTGAAATTACAAACATCGTTTAACACAAATAACTAAAATGGGAAAAGACCAGTCCACGTATTGTGAAAAGGTCATTCTGTTGATGTACACAATTGCTTTGTTTTCTTTTTAGAAGATCATTGATAGAAACGGTCAATGTTATCTCCCTAGTTCGAAACGAATTATTGTATAAAAAGTGCGATTATGGCATATAAATCATATCTGAAATTTTGAAGACTACTTGTAATTCAGCAATAAAAAAAAATTCAAACTAATTATAAACGATTTGAACTAGATGTATATCATAATTTAAAAGGATAGTCGAATAATAGTTTTATGAGTGTGAAATCTAGTTGAATAGAAGCCCAACATACTAATGAGTCAAAAAAATTTCATGACACGAAGATTGTAAATGCAATATTTAACTCTAACATTTTATTAATAAATTTTTAAAAATCCTAACTGCTGTGTTTTTGTGGAATTCATATATTTGACGAAGAAAACAAAACTTTCCGACTTCTTTCTCCCAACAATCCAATTCAAAATGTGTTGGTAAAGATAAATGGTATTAAACCTGCTAACGATTATTAAAACGCTCTCAATAAATTTTAGCAATCGGACCTAGTAGTCAATATGTAAATTTCCATAGTAAACAAAGAGAATAAGCAACAGACTTCTTTTTCATGATTCCTTAACGACGGAAAAAAGGCGTCGTATTGCATTAACAACAAGATTGAAATAATTTCAAGATTTTCCGACACATTTAAATACGTGAAATACTTTTTTTTTTTTGAGAATTCTAAATAGCATAGTGTCTGATTTTTGGTCACAAGTGATGTTTTTGTATTGCGCTTGTTGTTATATAATCAATAATAAAAATATGAACTGATAAATTTTGTAAGTTTCGAACACACAATCAATATCAATATTTCTGATCTTATTGAAATACATAATAACACATTGAGATCTGTTATATATGATTTCTACATTTTTAATATCCTACGAAACTGTATTGACAAGATCTTATATTAAAAATAAAACGTATTACTTATCATTTCAAAAAAAATAAAAAATCATTGATAATAATTTTTACAAAAAAGAAAAAAATCCATTTCATTTCTGTTTGTTACCATACCCACAAAAATAATTATATTATTTCAAAAAATAGGACACGAAAAAAACGAATATTTTATTTTATTTTTTTTTGCTCGAATGATATATAACGTAAAATATAAAAAAACAAAACTATTTTTCTTGATCTCGTCGTTTTGAACTATCACGCATAGGTATTGATTCAGCATCTTTAAGTGCACTTAAACGTTGCCATTCACGATAAGCATGATAACTACGACTTCTTGGATCGACATAAAAATTTGGATCAGAATATTTTGCAATACTAAAAACAAATTATTTTTGTTTTTTTTAAATAATAAAATTAATATTTATACCGCCATTGAAGTGCATGAATTAAAATACCAAATCCAATAAGAAATGAAATAATAGAAAATGGAGCAAAATAAGTATTTATTAATCCCATTGTTGGTGATGAATTATATGAATAATATTTAGCACGTTGTCGATCTTGTTCCATTTTTCGACGAAGCATATCAAAAAATGTTTTATCAAAATTTGATTTTCCCCTTTAAAATAAAATATCTTTTGTGTTTAGTTTTTTTTTTTGTTAAATAATAAAAACGCACCTTCTTACCAGTCTGATTCATTTGTATTCCATTGTTGTTGATAAGCACCTCGATTATTAAAATTTGTATATG